ATAAGAAGATGACATTCTGTTAATGAGAAAACATGCAGTAAGAATAGTATCTCCCCAATGATAAACAGGCATATTTGCACCAAGTAATAAGGTACGAACAATTTCAACCAAATGTCTATTATTTTGTTCTGCTATACTATTTTGCTGTGGTGTGTGAGGACAAGTAGATTGGTGTAAAATGCCTTGGGAACTTAAGACAATGGATAAATCAGTAGAAAAATATTCTTTGGCATTATCACTTCGTAAAACTTTAATTATTTTTCCAAATTGATTTTTGATTTCGTTAAAGAAAGACTTAAAGATAGGTAATAATTCAGAATGGTCTTTCATTAGATAAATCCAAGTACACCTAGAAAACTCATCAATGAAGGTAACAAAATATCTATAGGCAAAGGATGAAACACGACTAGGACTCCAAATATCATAATGAACAAGAGAAAAGACAGAGCTACATCTAGATTTAGAATATTTAGGAAAAGAGGACCTAGTATGTTTCCCTAGTTGACATGATTCACGTTCAAAATCTTGAAGAGTTTGAAGTTCAGGAACCATTTTTTTTAATCTTGACAAGTGAGGGTGCCCTAAACATTCGTGTAATAGTTTTGGAGACAAGGATGCAACACAAGATAAAGATGATTTAGTCCCAAGGTAATATAAGCCTCCAGATTCATGTCCTTCGCCAATCTATCGACCCGTACCACATTCCTGTATAACAAAAGAGTTGGCATTAAAAGTTACTAAACAATTCAGTAATTTGGTTAATTGACTTAGGGAAATGAGACTGAAAAGACATGAAGGAACAAAAAGAACAGATTTTAAGTTTAAAGACGGAGAAATGGAGACTTGACCAGTTCTTTTAGAGGCTACTTTAGATCCATTGGCTAAGGTTATGAGATGAGGAGTTTTAGGAAATGAGAGAGAAGAGAACAAAGAGGTATTACCACATGTAATCAGAAGCACCTGAGTCAATAATCCATGGATTTTGACTTCCCACAAATTGTGAAATGCAAGCGGTTGATGAATTTGGGGTTGTTGATGGTTGTGCTAGATTACTGGATTTCAACTTAAAATATTCTTGATATTCTTCGTGAGAGAACTTGGGTTCAACCATTTTAGATTTAGAAAAATTGACAGTTTTGTCAGGAAAACCGTGCAAAGAGTAGTAATTTTCTAGGGTACCCATTCTCTTGCAATGAGTGCACTGAGGACGTCCTCTACCTTCACGTCCTCCTCTAGTGCCGCGACTTCCTCTTCCACGAGTAGAAATCATAACAGAAGATTCAACCAGTTCTTGATTATTTTTTCCGTTGAGAGTTGGAACACAATGCAGTCTTGTAGTCAAACTTTCCATAGAAGAAACTTCTTGTCCATTTAATATTTGATCTCTAACATGATCAAATTCTGAATTCATAGCCTGAAGAGTCATAACCATATAGAATATATCCAACTTATACTTTATCTCCTCTAACGAATCCACCTCTAGGAACATCTTTAATTCTTCAACTGCTGATTGAGCTTTAGCAATAAAGGTCATCATATTTTTATCCACTTGCTTGAGAGAGGCTAATCGATTAACGGAATCATAAAGACGTTGGATATCATTTGCAAAGATATTCTGAGCCTTTTTCCAGAAAGAGTTACATGTTTTGAAGGATCTAAGAATGTTCAAAATATTTGGTTCTATTGATTGTCACAATAGAGCACAGAGTTGATAATCAAATTTTTTCTATTGTTGAGTCTGATCTTCTGGTATCTTACTTCTGTCTTCTTCTAGATGATCGTGAAATCCTTGTCCAAGGAACCAAAGTTCCATTGAAAAGGACCAAGACATGTAATTTTTTTTCATTTAATTTCTCAACTGTTATAGTGGGAGTTCCAGAAAAGGAGGTTGTGGGCCCTGACGACATGTTTTAAATAATGTAGATGTAAGATGGAGACAATGTAACCTGTAAGGAGAACACCCAAGATAGAATTAGATAGAGAGGAAAATATCAATTTTCACTTTTGCAAGAAAACTGACGAATGGCAATAGCGGACAACTATAGTGAAACGGAGGCCGGAAGGTCACTGGAAGGTGGTCGGAAAGTCATCGGATGGCAGCAAAAAAGTGACTGGACGGGGGGCTGACGGTTGCCGGAAAATTGTCGGAAAGTGACCGGAATGTGGCCGGAAAAGTAGTCGGACGGTGGCCAGAAAAATGGTTGGACGATGGTCGGACGGTAGCCGGACGGTGGTCAGACGGTGACCAGACAGTGGCCGAACGGTGACCAGAAAGGCAGAGCAGGACCAACCTGCTCTGATACCAAGTTAAGAGAGTAAAGAGAGTTAAAAAGAAATTTATAATTCAGTGAGATGTCATTCTCCACTCTATGATCTCATATATAGATAGGATTACAGCATTTAAAACAACAACTACCAACTACCAACCATCAACTACTAACTACAAACCACTAACCACTACCTAATAATAATTCTAACAGTTAGTTAGTTTATGCAGACTCCATATCTTGGACATTGGAATGCCATCATCCGTATTTTAAGGTACCTTAAGAAGGCTCTTGGACAGGGTTTACTATATGAAGATAAAGGAAATGTTCAAGTCTCCAGGTATTATGATGCTGATTGGGCAGACTCCCCTATTGACATACGCTCTAGTACAGGATTTTGTGTCTTCCTTGGATATCTCATGAAAAAGTAAGAAGCAAAATGTAATGGCCCGATCATCCGCTGAAGCTAAATATCGGGCAATGGCGTCTCTCACTTATGAACTCATATGGGTAAAGCAATTTCTTCGAAAGCTTAATTTCTGTAAAATCCAGACCATGAAGATGTATTGTGACAACCAAGCTGCTCTTCACATTGCATCAAATCCGGTGTTTCATGAGAAGACTAAACACACAGAAATCGACTGTCATTTTGCTCGAAAAAAATTAATGTCCAAGGAAATTTGTACTGAGTTCGTTGGGTCAAATGACCAACTTGTAGATGTGATGACCAAGTCATTAAGGAGACCTCGGATTGAGTTCATTTGTTCCAAGCTTAGTTCATACAATTTGTATGCTCCAGCTTGAGGGGGAGTGTTAGAATCATTACTTCCTAGTATTATCATTAGACCTAAGTATAAGGTGTTGAGTGTGGGAAACCTCCTGAAGCTGTATCTAGATCTGCACCTAGGGTCCTAGTTGCAGTCTCTTACTTAGTCTTCTATGTCTCATTGTATCAGATTTCCATAATAAATAGAAGAAAGGGAGAAGGGTCCCATAAGCCCTGAAGATAAATTCAGAGTAATAAAGATTCAAAATAGTGGAAACAGAAATGCACACTAACAAAAGGAATGAAATGAAATATATAGAATGTACACAAAACACAACTATATTTGATGTCAATGGTTTTAGAAAAATAGATTATAAACAATATGTTAGCTTCACATGACTGTGAGGACAATGTAATTAAATGGGCTTGTAAATACTAAATAGAGCTGCAACAAACTTGCCTACATGGAAATGAATATGTATAACTACAAATTAGTATATTTGTATCCTAAACTAAAGATAGTTTTGTTTAGGATTTTAAATGCTTTTGCTCATTACATTACCAAAATGGATGTAATTATTTTGTTTGAATTTAAAAATTAATTTTAAGGTTGAATTTAGTGAGATGCACAAAAGACAGCAAAATAAGCATCCATTATTATAACCAAAATGTTCAAACTCATAGACAATCATCAATAATGGTATTGAGATTTTCCATTTTGGTAGGGTGTCAGTGACATGCCAAGGATCCCAAAGGCTAGCCAAACACTCAAATTACCTTGGGGTACTTGTTGCAACATGCCACTTTCCCCAACAAGGCTACCCCTCACAAGGGTTAGTCACCAACATGGGATATTAGGTGGCTCTAAGATGGCTTAAACCACACACAAGGGTATTGGGGATGTTGATGTTTAGAATTGGGTCCTTGACCACTGGTAACAACCTATGTTGGCACATACTACTATTGAGATTAAAAAGTTGTTCTACAAAATAATTCAGTAATATGATTGTCTATGATTCCAAATCTTAATATTCCCTTCCTTTATCCCTACCTTTATGTGAGGCAGTTCAAATGGAATAATATGAACTAGGAAGTAACTATTTGAAAAGTGGTATGTGGGTTGACAAGTTATAAATGTATTTTACATGCAGTCATAGGTTAAGAACACTTCTAATGGGAGAGATCAGATCAATTTAGAAACTTTTCTTTAGCAGTATCCCAAGTACGAAACTATAGATCTAAGTAAATTTAATAAATAATAAAAGTGTGTAAAACTGAGACTAGCAAAATAATGAATGAAAAATTAATTTATATATATGTTTTGCATTTCAATCGTATTTTCTAATGATTTCTTTGCGGTATTTTGGGGCTTGCCACTTCAATCCACTTTTATGCTCATGAGAACACTGAGAAAGATTAGGTGGCCAAAATTCCATGGCAATATGTATTTGGATGTAGCAGATGATGCATTTTCACAATTGTATATTTTCTCCAAATACATGGGGTAAGTTCACTTTTGTCTGTTTCAGAGAATTTCATTTCCAATATGCAGATAGATTGGTTAGATTTGTTGCTTTCTGATCACCACGTCAAGTCTTGAATTTGGACCTAACTCAATCCCAAAAGATAGTTCAAGAAGCAAGAGTTTTTATATACTATATATTCTTTACCATATATTACTAGTTGATGTGAGATCAATAATGTCCCCTCACACCAAGCACTAAACATCTCAAGCACAATGTTTGCAAGACTAAACATCTGTGGTTCAATAATGGATGGTCCGAGAGGCCTAACAACAATTGCTACAATAGTTTTGATACCATCTTAGGATTTTGGATTTGGATCTAACTTAACCCAAAAGAGGTGAGGGTTTCCCCCAACTTATATCCTCTATTTTGGTCATATTACTCATTGATTATAGATCGACATGGGATGTCTAGCAATATAAAAATTAAAACTAAGCAAAATTATAAAGAATGACATACACTGATTTCCTTTTTGGTAAGTGGAGCAAATGATGTATCATCTTTTACCCCAGCAATAATGTAAAGCCTCACTCTCTGTTGCCCAAAGATAACTTCAAGGTATTCATCCTTTTTAAGAAGTTTTGAAACATCAAAACCTGTTTCTTCCATGACCTGCACTCAAAAGAAAAACAAAAGGGAAAATTAAGCCAAGACTCTAAATAAAACGTGAATTAGAATAATATTATAGATTTTACAAAGCATATCAATTTTGCAATGTACAGGCAAGTATCTTTCCTAGACCTACAGTCCAAGATCACAAGGAAAAATTGGTCATTTAAAACAAGACTGAGGACGCAATAATTCTAAAGAAGCATGCTTACTTCTCTAATGGCACATGCATGATCTTCTTCATCTTTGCTCTTTTTGCCACGAGGGAAGCTCCAACTTGAACCTTTCCATCCCTTTACTAGCAAGCACTGCCAACAGCAGGCATGTAAAAATATGGCTCAAGATAACAATAAGTAACTAGGAAAGAATCTTCAATACTATTATATCAGTTGAGAATTGAAAAGATCTTCGGTGGAATTAAACATGCCATCTCTAACTGTCTGATATTTCATTACATTTAGCAATTCTTCGCAAAATTATGCTTTAATTTGTTTGCTCTGAACAAGGCTGTTTACTTCCAGTATACAAAGTTTCATTAAAAAATGGCGTGGAGCAACTTTCCCTAAAAGCAGAATTTTAGATGGTGTATGAGTATGAGTGACTTCATTATATCATTCATAAATCCCCCTTCATTTAAGGGCCGTTTGAGGCTTGAAGTTGAAGCATATATGGTGTCTGGTAACAGTTGAAACTCAGGTTTGTATTACAAGAATGGGCAGTCTTGGTCTTAACTACTTGGTCAGAGATATTGGTATTTTGTCATGGACCAACTCTATCCTAAAAGCTTTAGATGTCAGGTGAAAGCTAAATATAAGCAACCTAATTATATCTCTCACTGAAACAAATAATATCCTGTTTGTCAAAAGAAGTTAACCAAGTGGAATAATGAAGAGTATACATAATCAAGTCACTGCATGTACAACACTGAGGAGAAAGGACTACTTCCCTGTGTAGGGGCTCCTGAATGATTTTACTACTTCATGATTTACAAAAGGCTGTTTTTCCTCTTCTTCTATTCAAAATTTACATCTGATAGTCTATAATCATTAATCATTTCAATAGCAACCAGCTGGCAACATTCACCTACTAATAGCCAACCATGGAACATAAATGTTTATTGAGTTTTAATGACCCGACCAAAACAATGCCACTCATAGCTTTTTATCTTAATTAATAGGAGAATTTCCAGGTATCATATTTCCTTTCCAACTCCAATTGTATATCCTGATTGATTTTGTAAGTATGCTTATTATTAGGCCCCCTGTTTCTTTTAATAAATAATATTTTGGACTTCACACAGAAAGTAATCATGTTTAGACACATTGATTACAGTAATTACACATCAAAACATACCACAGAGAAGACATCCCCAGCACTAGAAAAAAAACAAGGTAATCAAATAGATTTTTCTTACTACAGAAAGCAAAAAATAAGTGCTGCTGAGAGTGTTTATTGTTGGCTTACCCTTTCATATGTTTCATCAAGAATTATTGCCCCAGTTACAGGAACTCGAACCTTATAGGAGGTGAAGTCCTTGAAAATATCATCTATATGGGCCACATAAGGCTTCAAAACATCACAACTGTTGAACACTGCTAAATGTAAAGGAATATGACTTCTAATATATAAATTGAAGTGGATAGAGACACTATGACAAGAAAAATAAACTTCCATGATGATTAGCATTACTTTAGATAAACCTAAAATATTGTTCCTAATAATATCAACAAAGTAAATTAATGATAGCCATCTTTCACCAGGTCAAATAATGTAATAAGAGAACAACATGGTTCCAACATTACATTGTCTAAATAATTATCATTGCCAGTGTGCCCATTCACAAGCAAGGAATAGTGCATGGCTAACAGAATGAGCATAAAAGCAATCCTCAATGATGAACTCAAAAATGATAATACATATAATTTTATGTAGGAAAAATTATGTAAAAGGGCAAACGAATTCCAGATGGGAGCATGTCAACACATTTTTATGCCATATCACAAAGGGATAATTTTCCACAAGCAGTTTGCTTTCAATTAATGCAAACATGTAATTCCATCTTTCAACATACAAAATAAGATAATAAGAAACACGCAGATTTCCTCAACAAAGATGGCAAGGGAGACGACTAGAACATGTTGATTAGCAACTAAATTCCTACAAAACTTGGGTGTTTTTTTTATAGGAATAAATTTCCGACAACAATTCAATTCCTCTGCTCACATTTCTATTTTACCCCATGTTCGAAATCAAAGAAAACAGCTTACTATTACCATTTAAATTAATGAACTAGGAAAGACACTAGTGCATGAAAGAATTTTTCATAAATAATTATACTGAAAAGGAATAAGAATGAAAAACTTATATTCAGCTACAACTGCAAACAAAAGTTATAGTAAGGATACACAAAGAAGTAAACTCCTTCAGATTTAATGACTTCAGAGATGGATTATTTTCTACGGAGTTATCTTCATAAAACCAATGTGCATACTCCACAAGAAACAATATCCTTTCAAATGACTGAAGATCTTCCTTCGGCACATTTAGCACAAATCGACTGCAATATAACAACATGAACATAGGAAGACACAATTATAGTCAACAATAAAATGGGAAGAATGTCAATGCAATGACTTCAAGTGTTACAGAATTGGAGGACGCAGCATAACAGAATATAATAAAACTATATCACTGACACTGTATATCTTTATAAATGACAGTTCGCTTCAATTGATCATCACTATTATAATACTATTAGAAGAAAATAAAAACAATAAAAAACTGAACAGTTATAAACTTTCACTATGCTTATAGTTAGTAATCCATGATTAAGCTAAGCAAAATATCCAGCAGAACCATCTCTTTCAAAATTTGTATAGCAGTGTAAATTCCTTCCAGTCACCAGCAGACAGTATTATCAATTCTTTAGGTAAGAGAGTACGATTAATTAGAGGCATAAAGTGTAAACGTATAATAATTATAATGTGGGTTAAAAAAACATATAATCAGAAAAATTCAAGAATTAAATAAAAAATTCAAGCGGCCAAAAAGTTCTGTAACTTTAAACGCCCTATTTTCCTGTGTTTTCTGTGAAACCAAACAGAGAGGTGAGAAAACAAAACCGGTAAAGAAGAAAATGAGAGACCTGCAGAGATCGTCAAGTAGTTCTTGAGGTGGAAGACCGTTCTTAGAGGAAGAACGGTGATGATTCGACATCGCTGCCCAGTGCCGATTCTCAAACCCTAGGAAAACAAAAATATTCAAAATAAAAAAATGTGCTGCTTCGACAAATTTCTATCACTTTCTCTTTTTCTCTCTTCGTATTTGAACAGCACAAAGAAAAAAACGTTCAGTTCTGCCCCGTACCCGAACGGATCTTCTTCACCTTAAATGTTGAAACCCGTCACTCAAGTTCCACCAAAACTATATATATATATATATATATATATATATATATATATATTATTTTATTTTTTTCCGAAATTTTACTTGCACGGAGTCTCTGAAAATTTGTTTTTCTTTTTTTTAATGTTTGTTTTATTTCTAAAAACTATTCAGATGAGAGAGACAATGGTTTTTGGACAATATTTTAGTTATGTTTATTACAATTTTTTTCTAAAATTATAATTCTAAACTTCTTTAAGTTCAAAAAAATAATAATTACGATGTAATATATGTTTATTACAATTTTTTTCTAAAATTATAATTCTAAACTTCTTTAAGTTCAAAAAAAATTACGATGTAATATATACATATTTATTAAAAAAAACACTACCAAATAATTATCTTACTGTTATTACATTAAAAATAAATTATATAAAAATTATGTAAAAATAAATATAATAATATGTATTTTTACATCTTTCATACCAAATCGAGTTTAAAATCAAATAAAAAATATATTATAACAATTAATAAATTGTGTTTTATATTTCTTATGATATTTTGATGATAATATTTTTATTTATAATAAAAATATAGGTGAGTATATTAAACATTTCACTACAAGAAAAACATCAAATAGTGACCGAAAATTCGATCACTAAATCTACAAAATCTGATTACTAATTAAAATAGTGACCGAAATAGTGACTCAACTGGAATCGGTCACTATTTCCTCGGTCACTGATTTCAATGATCGAATCAATGACCGATTATATATAACCAAATCGATCATTGAATCGGTCACTAAATCAATGAAAAATTAATTCTTTTTATTTATTTACACTTTTATTATATCTATTATTTATTTTCCCTATCTCTTAATTATATTATATTTTGCTTATTTAAGTTTTTATTTATATTTATTTCCCCTATCTTTATTATATTTTTTAGAAGTTTAACTTATTATTAGGTGGTTTATTGTCATTGTCGGATTCGAACCCAGTACCTTAGAGTTGGAGGCTGAAACTCCAACCACTGAGCTACTAGGATCTTTTAATAATAACTTACAAATAAATTATATTTATATACAAATAAATGTATATCCGTATAAATATATAAATATAAAATCTATAAATAAAAATATATTTATATATTTTAATATATAAAATCTACAAATAATGGTATATTAGTATAGTATCGTATATTTGTATTCTAATTTTTAATTAAATTAAAATTATGCTAATAATGTATATTAATATATGAGGGGATAATATTGATATATTTGTATATATATATATATATATATATATATTTATATATATTTATATATTGATATATTGATATATTTATATATTAATATATTTATATTTTTATATTTTGATATATTTATATATTGATATATTGATATATTTATTTATATCCTTATACATTTATATCTTTATATATTTATATATTTGAAAAAAAATATTAAATTTTAAAAATAATATTATATTTTTAAAAATAAATATTAGAAAAAGATTTAAAAATATATATAAATTATATTTACATTTACAAAATATTAAAGATATATGTTTATATCTTTACATATTTATATATATTTATATGTTTATATTTTTACATATATTTATATCTTTCCATATTTATATATTTATATATAAAGATATTAGTTTTGTATACAAATAATATTATAATATAGTATATTATACTATTAATATAGTATACAAATAATATGTTAGTATAGTATAGTATACAAATTATTAATTTTGTAATTTATATACAATGAAAATAATATAATGGTATATTGGTATAGTATATTTGTATTCTAATTTTTAAATAAACTAAAATTACGCTAAATGTATAATAATATATGAGAGGATAATAAATTTAATCCAATTACTTTTATAAATATATAAATATAAAATCTATAAAATATTAAAAATGATATTATATTTTTAAAAACAAATATTAGAAAAAGGTTTAAAAACTAGTATTATCTTAAATTTATTAAAAGTATAATTAAATCTCTATTTTCTTAATTTTTTTTTTAAACTTCTCAATTCTACATTTTTGTAAGTTCTATCATTATATTATATCATCCTCATCTCCTCCCATGTTCTACTTTATCTTTACAATAGTCAATATTCTTAACTAATTTATAGTTTTAATTATAATTTTTTAGTATATATTTTGAAATTAATCAATTCTAATCTATTATTTGAAAAACTAATCAATTCTAATCAATAATTTAGAAAACTAATCGATTATAATTAATTATTTGAAAAAATTATCAAATATGATCATTCATTTCGAAAATATAATCGATCAGAATCAATTATCGCTCGAGCGAGACTAGACTCAGCTCAAGCGAAATACAACCAGAGAGTACCAATTTTGTGCAGGGAGCGTTTCGCTCAAGCGAGAGACTTGTCGCTCAAGCGAGATACACTTAAGATAGCGGTTACACAGGAACCGCTCTTAAAAGCTCACTTAGATAGCGGTTAACCGTTGAACCGCTATTATATGGTTTCCATTATGATCGGTCAGAATACAATTATGACCGATCATAACTATTTTAATCGATTAAAATATAGTTTCAATCGATTAAAACAATTTCTGCACATGCGTTTTAATCGATTAAAACTTATTTTTATCGGTTAAAATAACTTGAAAACTTATATTAACTATTTTTTTATATTATGTTTTTAAATTTTCTATTAGAGAAAACCTTTCAGAATTCAAAATGTTAAATACTTTTAAATATTAAAATTAACTTTATCAAAAATTAGGAAAAAAATTTTAATCCAAAACAGTTCAAAAATGTATTATAATATTGTCAATTTTGAGTTTAATTATATTGTTCATTCTCAAAGTAGAAAAATATATTGTAATTATTTTAATTTAATAAAATATAATTTAAAATTTTAATACTAAAATTAAAAGATTAAATAATAATAAATTTAATTCTTTAAATTCAGTAGTTAGAAACTAAAATTATAGTTTCTCTGTTTTAAATAATAATAAAAAATATTAAAAAAAATCAAAACTAGTATTATCTTAAATTAATTAAAAGTGTAATTAAATATCTATTTTTTTAATTTTATTTGTTTCAAACTTCTCAATTCTACATTTTTGTAAGTTCTATCATTATATTATCATCCTCATCTCCTCCCATGTTCTACTTTATCTTTACAATAGTCAATATTCTTAACTAATTTATAGTTTTAATTATAATTTTTTAGTATATATTTCAGAAATTAATCAATTCTAATCTATTATTTGCAAAACTAATCAATTCTAATCAATAATTTACAAAACTAATCGATTATAATTAATTATTTGAAAAAATTATCAAATATGATCGATCATTTCGAAAATATAATCGATCAGAATCAATTATCGCTCGAGCGAGACTAGACTCGCTCAAGCGAAATACAACCAAAGAGTACCAATTTTGTGCAGGAGCGTTTCGCTCGAGCGAGAAACTTGTCGCTCAAGCGAGATACGCTTTAGATAGCGGTTACACGAGAACCGCTCTTAAAAGCTCACTTAGATAGCGGTTAACGGTTGAACCGCTATTATATGGTTTCCATTATGATCGATCGGAATGCAATTATGACCGATCATAACTATTTTAATCGATTAAAATCTAGTTTCAATCGATTAAAACAGATTCTATCAGCGTTTTAATCGATTAAAACTTATTTTTATCGATTAAAATAACTTGAAAACTTATATTAACTATTTTTTTATATTATGTTTTTAAATTTTCTATTAGAGAAAACCTTTCGGAATTCAAAATGTTAAATACTTTTAAATATTAAAATTAACTTTATCAAAAATTAGGAAAAAAAATTTAATCCAAAACAGTTCAAAAATGTATTATAATATTGTCAATTTTGAGTTTAATTATATTGTTCATTCTCAAAGTAGAAAAATATATTGTAATTATTTTAATTTAATAAAATATAATTTAAAATTTTAATACTAAAATTAAAAGATTAAATAATAATAAATTTAATTCTTTAAATTCAAGTAGTTAGAAACTAAAATTATAGTTTCTCTGTTTTAAATAATTAAAAAAAATATTAAAAAAAAATCAAAACTAGTATTATCTTAAATTTATTAAAAGTGTAATTAAATATCTATTTTCTTAATTTTATTTGTTTCAAACTTCTCAATTCTACATTTTTGTAAGTTCTATCATTATATTATCATCATCATCTCCTCCCATGTTCTACTTTATCTTTACAATAGTCAATATTCTTAACTAATTTATAGTTTTAATTATAATTTTTTAGTATATATTTCAGAAATTAATCAATTCTAATATATTATTTGAAAAACTAATCAATTCTAATCAATAATTTAGAAAACTAATCGATTATAATTAATTATTTGAAAAAATTATCAATGTGATCGATCATTTCGAAAATATAATCGATCAGAATCAATTATCGCTCGAGCGAGACTAGACTCGCTCAAGCGAAATACAACCAGAGAGTACCAATTTTGTGCAGGGGGCGTTTCGCTCGAGCGAGAAACTTGTCGCTCAAGCGAGATACACTTTAGATAGCGGTTACACAGGAACCGCTCTTAAAAGCTCACTTAGATAGCGGTTAACCGTTGAACCGCTATTATATGGTTTCCATTATGATCGGTCAGAATGCAATTATGACCGATCATAACTATTTTAATCGATTAAATCTCGTTTCAATCGATTAAAACAGTTTCTGCACAGCGTTTTAATTGATTAAAACTTATTTTTATCAGTTAAAATAACTTGAAAAGTTTTAGGAGAAAGTTTTGCGAGTATTTCAATCGATTGAATCGCG